ACAACATCTGGTTCTCGTCTTGTGGTTCCCTGGGATCTGTGGAAAGAATGGAACGAGTGTATGAGCAGATGAAAGAAGATCGAAGCATCATTCCAAACTGGACTACATTTAGCACAATGGCGACCATGTATATCAAGATGGGACTGCCAAAAAAGGCCGAAGAATGCTTGAGAAACGTAGAGAGTAGGATCACTGTTCGGGATCGTATACCGTATCATTATCTTATTACACTTTATGGTAAAGTTGGTAATACAGAGGAAGTTTATCGGGTGTGGAAGGTTTACAAATCTATTTTCCCCAGTATTCCGAATTTGGGTTATCATGCCATGATCTCGTCTCTGGTTAGGTCCGATGATATTGAAGGGGCGGAAGAGATTTACGAAGAGTGGCTATCGGTTAAAACATCTTACGACCCTAGAATAGCGAATCTTCTCATAGGGTGGTATGTCAAAGAAGGTAACTTTGATAAAGCTGAGAGCTTTTTCAATCACATAGCTGATGTCGGAGGAAAGCCGAATTCAAGCTCATGGGAAACTCTTGCTGAAGGGCATATCGGAGAGGCGAGAATCAACGAGGCTCTATCTTGCCTAAAAGAAGCTTTTGCAACTGAAGGCTCGAGAAGTTGGAGGCCAAAGCCCACAAATGTTTCTGCCTTCTTTAGTCTCTGCGAGGAAAAAGGAGACGAGGAAAGTAGGGAGGTTTTGGTGGGATTGATACAGCAAGCCGGATATCTGAAAAACGAAGCTTATGCATCACAAATTGGATTATCTGAAGGTGCCGTCGGAAGTGAATTGCCGACAGACAAAGACGTAAACAACCGTTACAGTTCCGGTGTTGAGTACGAGGGTGATAATTCGGAGGTGTTCCTCAACAAACTGCAGAGCAGCGCCTGATGATCGGTATTTAAGTCATGAGTTAAGCATATACACTGATGTCGGCAAGGATCGAGAACTTATAGTTACTTATCTACTCGTTTGCATGCATTTGTGCAGGGGAAGCTTCACTCTGCAGGTGAGAAAAACCGACCTAGACGAACTCTTGCCAATGCCCTTACCGTTTAACGGGGTTCGAGATGTATGAACTTGCAATTTAAGCCTGTGAAGGTGATCAAGTGGAAAGGATATGAATAGTTTAGCATTCTCATGACTTGGAAGCTGATTGAACCTATATATAAAGTTGTTTTGGGTTGTTCACATCACATACCTTTGTTTTACTTCATTTATCAACTATATAATCTTTTGTGGAAATGAAAGAGTTCTGAGGGTATTGGATTAATGATTTTGTAAGATATTTTGAGTGACGATCATGAATGCAGGCAACCATGATTTCCTCGTTAAAACCAATGTCCTGTTGAGTATGTTCTACTTTATGTTCAGTTTCTGTCCTTATGACACTATGCATTGTTCAAGTGGATCTAAGGTCAAATTATTTTTATATCTTACGATTCATCATTGATGAGAAGTAGGGGCTGATGGCAGAGTTAATGAGATGTACCATGGAATCTAGACCAACTTGCATAGACGGAGTTAGGGTTCAAAGGTTAATTGTCTATTTTAAAAAAAAAAAAAAAATTGTCGTGGCCGTGAATCCGAACACAAGAAGACAAATAAAGCAAAACCATGGGTGGTGTTCATGTTCAAAGTTATTGTTTGTTTTTCTGGGACAAAAGGCATGCATTATTTTTTCTGGAGAAGTTGCCAAGCTTGTATTATGAAGCAGCAGACCAAATACAAGGTACCTGTCCGAAACAAAACATGACGAATCCAATTTGTTTTAGATTTAGCACACATGCTGAAACTGCTAGGATTCTTCGGAGAGCAGGACCCACACAATTAGAACTACATTTCCCCACATGTTATCACATGATGGTTGTTGCATGCCGTGAGTACAACAACATTGGCATCAAGTTTAATAACATGATGGATGTGATATCAGCAATGGCTGATTTTACAATTAAGCCTAATTTTACTCCTTCCACTGAAAACACCTCCCCTCTAACGATCACCTTCAAAACCTGTGTTTATGAACATGTACCTTAACGAGAGAAACAGCGCAACACATTGAACTCTTCTTTTCCAAAAACCTTGTGAGGCATGGCAGAACTAGAGAACCCAAAAGTGCTTCGAAACCTCATAACTTTCCTCTCTTCTCTCATCCTAAACGTCGCCGAATCCAACGACATAAACAGCGGGTTTCAGACCGAGAAGATGTCGGTCTTCCACGGCCTAACACGGCCAACCATTTCTATCCACAGCTACCTCCACAGAATCCACAAGTACGCAAACTGCAGCACCTCGTGCTTTGTGGTGGCTTATGTTTATCTTGATCGGTTTGCAATCCTCTTTGCCCATCGATTCTTTCAACGTTCATCGCCTGCTTATCACCAGTGTCATGGTTGCTGCCAAGTTCATGGATGACATGTAAGTTTCTCAAAACCATATGCCATTCGGGTCTTTTTAGTTTTGGATACTTTGATTTCTTTCATGTTTTCTGAATTATGACTTAATTTTTTTATGGGTAAACTACTGGATTGGTCAATTTACTTTCATATTTATACACTTTTTCTCATCAAATTCAAAAAACTTGAAGTTTCGGTCACTTGCATGATCAATTTATTAAGTTTTGGTCACTGACATTATTGGTTTTTACATTTTGGTCACTGAGTCACTAACTGCCGTTGGTTTGATGACGTGATCAGCGGTGACAATAGTGAGTGATGGCAGCGATGAGAGACTTTGATCAAGTTCAAGGGTCAAATTAATATTTTATCTAAAGTTTAGGGATCAAATTGATATTTTATCAAAGTTCAAGGTCTAACTAGTATTCAATCTAAAATTCAGGGTTAAAATTAAAAATTAACCCCTTTGAACTAATGTGCCACATCATCAAGCTCACGGGAGTTAATAGCTCAATTATCAAAATGTAATAATCGATAACATAAGTGCGCAAAAATTAATAAATCAATAATATAAGTGACTAAAACTTAAGTTTTTTGAATACGGTAAGTAAAAGTATAATTATAAGTGATGATATATATTCTAAAGATTCTCAACTATTTACTAATAAATACTTAAATAACTTGTCGTTTCTAATGCTCGAACTTAAAATCTCTAAAAAAAAAAGTAATAATTACTTTAACTAGTCAGATAATTTTATTCATGTGAATATCTTTTTAAATAAAGAAAATGTTCTTGAAGTCAAATGTTTATTCTCCATGGAATACGCTTGCCTGTTTTTTTTCCTTTTCGGGTAAAGTAAACTAGAAGTCATTAAACGTTACCCATATAATTATTTTAGTCATTGAACTTTCAAAACTTATAAAATACTCAATACATTTATCAATTTGTTATAAAATACTCATTAAATTTATCAATATCTTACAATTATTATAAAATCATAATATAATTTTTTTAATAAATTTAAAAATTATTTATGAAATCATTTGAACCTAATTTAAATATTTTAATCCAATCATACTGATAGTTTAATACAACTCGATTAACGTAGTGTAAAATTGGAGTGGATTGAATGCAACATTTCTTTTAAGTTAAATGTTTCATGTCACTTAAAAATGACATTTGAAGTTTAAAATTAATGTTATATGTCATTCAATTAAGCCTACACCGTAGATTTAATGATTCTGGATTGAATGCACACTTTATAACTGCTCGAACATAAATCTTTTAAAGAATAATATTTCATCTTACCACCAAAGTCATTGAATGAGTTCGAATCAACCTTAAAAGTTGAACTTTTTGGGTCATTTTTTAAAGTAGTTATGCCAATATTATACCAAGTTCCAAAAGTTGGGTTTTTGATATTTTTGAACCCCAATCTTTCAGGTATTACAACAATGCCTACTATGCAAAAGTAGGAGGAATCAGCACAGCAGAAATGAACATGCTGGAAGTGGATTTCCTGTTCGGACTAGGCTTCAACTTAAACGTAAACCCCAAAACTTTCGAAACCTATTACTCCCACCTTCAAAGGGAGATGCTGATGCTGCTGCAGCCTCCACCACCACCACCACCACCACCAAGTTCTGCAGAATCCTCTATGAAACTCCATTTGTGTTTCAATGAAGAGGAACCCACCAACACTTCCCATCGAAAGGAACAACTTGCTGTTTAAGCCCTTTGGTTGTCTTTGAAACATTCATTCTTTTTGGCTGCATCACTTGCTGTTTTGGTTTTCCTTTTGGGGAGGTTTTAGGTCTCCAGTTGTTTATGTATTGTACAGGTTGAGTCTACCTATTTTGTCTAATATCAACACTAATGTCATCATAAAACCTAACGACGAATCAAAAAATATTTTTCAAGGTGAACACATATATATATTAATAACGGAAAATTTTTGTACGGGTGAGCACAAATAAAATTTCAGAATTGACATTTTTAGTAAAATGAATAACTAACATAAATAAATTCAGATTCTAGATGGGCACAAATAAAATTTCAAGATGAGAACTTTTAATAAAATGAACAATTAACATAAAGAAATTCGAATTTTAGGGTGAACATTCAACATACATCCGCTAGTGATAAAACCCCTCGATGAAGGCTGAAAAGAGGGATCAACTTTGACCCTCCTTCCTCATAAAACACTTAGCAACAGCCAGTCCACAATCACCGATCGTGACTCTTCATCCAAACGAAAAAGATGAATAGTCTATGATCGTTGTGACCCGTTTATTCCTATCAACAAATATCCTTCAGTGTGATCCACCGGTGTTTACTGCATTTACGTTAACCCCCATATGCAAGTGCTTCTCTACGGTTTGATAAACCTATAATCTGTAAATCATTATCAGCATTGTTTAATTAGGGTAATTAACGAATAGGATAAGTGTAAAAGAAGAGAAATGAACAAGGAAAGATGACATAAATGTCATAATAAGGAGCTTTATACATATTGCCTGATTGACATAAATAGATCTTATATTAAAATAGCATTTATTGATACAAGAAATTAATTTGATCCGATATTTTCTTTACAAAATTAAAAATTAAGAACGAAACCAATATGTTTTAAGTTAATAATGACGTTTCCATGAATTCCAACATCCATCGTGTGGTGACCAACGAAAACTGCTAGTTATATTTCGAGCAGCCATGGGATACTTGGTCACAGCCGCCTTGAACCGCTTCCAGTCGCGGAGGACAGCCGTTAAATCCCTAACCTTGGCATTTATGTGGCGGCAACAATTCGCGTGGACCGTCGCCACCGCACTGACGTCTCGACTGTCTTCACAGAAGCCACTGAAATACCTTGTCTCCAAGAACCTTACTCGGAGATGAAACTCGGTGACGATGCCATGTCGCATTAGGTCTAACAACACATCTTGCTCTTTTGACCTTGTGAATTTGTCCTTGAGCGAATACCATCGGCTGAAGAGAGCGATCGTCTTGTTGTTTGATTTGATGAGGTAGAAGCCTGTGTTGATCAAATTGCGATCGGGTCTTGGATCGCTGGAAAATTTATCAACGCTAATTTGGAGATCCTCGGTTCCATTTAGACTTAGCTTAGCAAATGGATTTCGTAACCACATTACATCGGTGTCCTAGTAGAATGAGCAAAATTTAGACTTAGCTTGATGTAATAATAACAAATATATTAAACAAGAATAATAACTAAGGCATACCGTAAAAATGAAGTTGTATCCACGCTTCAAGACATCCAAAAGGAAAAGGGTTCTTCTCCACATCATCTTGATGAAATCCCCCGACATGTAAACCTTCTCCTCCCCGAAATCGACCCCCTCCGTCACTAGCCGGTAACAATGCAACCGCTTGAACACACACCGGTCGTGAGCCGTCTGATCCACGGTCACAAGGAGCAGATGGTCGAGCAACGGCCTCGTATCTTCTCCCAGCCAAAAGCTCTCCAAGAATAGGTCCAGCATTGTGGTCTCGGCGTCAACAGTCTGCTCGACGTATGCTCGGTTGACGACCGCGATGATCACTGTCCTGTTCTGCATGGAAGCTCCCTCTAATGCCAATTCGAGCTCGTCTTTTACAGGGAACTCAACAGTAGTCTGCAACAGGAGAAAAATGAGCTTGTGTCGACTAGAATTATATATATAAGTACGTATGTATGTATGCATGAGAAGATAATATGTATATATACTTACATAATTTTTGGGTGGAGCATTGATCAGTTCATTGTAGGAGAGTAAAGGGCTTGAAGGGGACCATACACAAATGTAGAGAAAACCAGCAAAAAGGAGAAAAACTACGGCAGAAGTTCCTGGAGATAAGTTCTTTGGATGTTCCATTGAATGATATTCATTTAGCAAGAGAAAGAGGAGAACGGGGCTTTATATATATGTGTGCGTGCGTGTGTGTATTATTTTGGTTTTTGAAGGTCAAATTTGGTTTCGGTCCCTTTACTATGTTCAAAATTTTGGGTTTAGAGCATTAACCATTCTGGTTAGGATGTTAGAATTGTTTTTTCTTTCTTTCTTAAAACATCTCTTTCAAGCTCATTGGCATGCTTTTTTTTTTTTGTGTTGGAATGAACATTTTCAAAAGAAATCTACATCGGTATTTTAATTAAATTAAAACGTAGAAGTCAAATTTTAAATTTGAGTACAATAAGGAGGACTAAAATCAGAATTTAACTATTTCTTAATTGAGGTAGAAATGTCACACAAAGTAGCTGAGGATGAACCGTTTAGTTGCCATGGGTTTACTTAGGGTTATCAACTTACAAATGAATATAATGTGTTATGTGAATTAAACTTTGGTTTTCACGTTTATAATCGTCCATATTTGACGTTAGATTAATTCATATTAAATATGACAAAAGTCAATTATAAATGATCCTCTTAGTTTGGTTTGTTTAATTTATAATCATGTAATTCAATGAATTAAGTGATTTTGCTGGTTAAAGGAGGATTGTTGTTCATAAAAGTTTCGGGTTGGAGCACGACTTTTGTAAGTGTTTGAATATTTATTGTCAATTAATTGAGAAATTTTCAAATATATACTATCATGTAATCACCCTGACCTGTCAAAAATATTCCATTCAACACGAAACAATTTTTTTTAAATTATAAACTAAATAAAAAAGGGAGAAACATCAATTATATATTCGATTGATTTTGATATAATAATGTTTTGGTTCATGTAAAAATAAGTATTCAAATTTAAAAATATAAAGATTTATTAAATATTTAATCAATTATGGGCCGAACTAAAAAAAGGATAATCTCAGGTTTTTAAATTTTTCTGTCTAATAACAATTTAGGTTATTGTATGTTTAAACATTAGACAAATTAAGTATTGTCTTATGAATTTTAAGTTTAAATTCCTAATAAGTCATTGTATTTTTTCTTAAAATTTTTAATATTTTGGCCATACCAATATTTAATCCTAACTCTGGCTGAACATTTTTTTTAGGATCTTGTTGATCAATTCGTTTAATTGAATATTTTTTGAATGATATGCTGAAAGATTTGACATCATTAAAAATAACTGCCCAGAAAGTAGTCATAAAAATACTTCCTCTGTCCCACTAAAAGTGTTTCTTTGGGTTTTTAAATTGTTCATACAAAATGCACTATTAGAAAAGTCAACAAATATCGATACTTATATTTCTTTTTTTTACCCGTATATATCTCACTCTTTTACACATATCAAAACAAATATGTCAAATCCATCAATCACCTTTTAGAGATAATTTTTTCATTTTCCTTGATCAAATATATCTCCTAAAACTATGTGCATAATCAATATAAGACACTAATTATGGGACGGAGGGAGTATCAAGTTTAGCTAATGTGCATGTATAAATCAACAATGAATGTCTTACATCGTATAAAAACATTTGAAAAAAAATAACGTAACTTTCCAAAAATGAATGAATCTACAATGAATGTCATACATCGATATGTACCACTAATGATATACACCAATATATACTATTAATATGACATAGGATAGAAATCATAACTGTTCATTAAATTTAGTTAAAATGATTTTATTTGTCATTAGATTTTTAAAAGTTACAAAATAGACATTAAACTTTATATTTTATTAAAAAAAATGAGTATCATTCGTTAACAGTTGTTATGGGGTGACGTATTATACTAAATTAATTAGAAATATCTTATTGTCCCTTCATTGTAAAAAAAATTCATTTTTGATATTTTCTCAACATTTTAAGTAATAATTAAAAAAATAAATTTCATTTTTAAAAAAGTATATGAAAAATAATATATTTTTAAAATTTAAAAAAATATTTTTTGAATTTTTTAATTATTCAAATTATTTTGTAATTACTTATTTATTTAATTATATTTGCATTTATAAAAATAAAAAAATTATAATTTTTTAAAATTATATTTGCATTTAAAAAAGTATATGAAAAATAATATATTTTTAAAATTTAAAAAAAATATTTTTTGAATTTTTTAATTATTCAAATTATTTTGTAATTACTTATTTATTTAATTATATTTGCATTTATAAAAATAAAAAAATTATAATTTTTGAGATCCAAAAAATTCAATTATCAAACAATAATTTATTTTATTAAGCGATGTGATTCAAGCATTTAATTTTTATTTAAGAAATTTAAATATAATTTAAAAATAATACATCTAGAAAATTATAATATCATATTAATAAGAAAATACATCCAAACTTAAATAAGAATAATCACAACAATCTTTAAATTTTAATAACGTATCAAATAATTTATATAGTACAAATTTAGTATTTATAATATGATACTGAAAAGGATAATATTTAGTTTATTTACATCTATTTTATTTTTAATTCAACCAACCTAATAAAAATTATTTCAGTTAAATTAACAGTAAAATGAAATTTTAGTATGTCATGTCACCTCTTTAATGACAATAATGGAGTTGTGTTCATTTTGTGATAAAATCTAAAGTTCAGTGTCTATTGTATAACTTTTGAAAGTTTAGTCTAAAAATATGTTTTGATATAATTTAATGACTATTTATAAATTCTACCCAATAAAATTAATGGTAAATATCAATGATATTCATTCTAGAATTTTTCCTCCAAAAAGTATACTTGTAAAAATAATAAATAAAAAAACAAAAAGTGGGTAAACTCTATATAGTATCTAAACTATTACTTTTGTTTTTATTTTTTTAAATCATACCTAATGTTTAGCTAAAGTTTTAATTTGGCACTCCACTGTGAAAAAATTAACAGAACCACTGACATAATATTTTTTAATTTTCAATAATAATATGACATTATCTTATAATGATACGTCAACACCGCATTTAAGTAGAGTACCAAAATGAAACATGAACTAAACGTTAAGTATGATTTAAAAAAAATAAAATTGAAGTACTAAAACAAAGCAAAAGTAATAGTTTAAGTACTAAACTTGTAGTTTATCCTAAAAAATTCAATGAATGCATCATGCATGTTTGGTATATTGAACCTTCCCAAAGTAACCGATCAAAGTACAAACCACGAAGTGTATTATACAATTTGTGTATTTTACACACTAAACCTCTTATTAAAACTGTCCTCTGAAACGTGATTTTAGAAGTGTCACCTTCCTCTTGTTTCTCTGCAAAAGAAACATGCTTTCCTTGTTGTGATCTCCGAGAAAGCTGAACTTTCTATCTGGGTTTTAATATTAAAAAACTAATTACGTTTCATTTTTTTTATAAAATTAACTCACGCATCCACTCGCACACATGAAAATCTCTCGAGTAGTGTGCTAAGGTGACTCGAAAGCAATTCTTGCATGTTGAGGGTGAAGTGAATCCCATGCTAACATTATTTTAACGTTAGAATGGATATTTCAATTGATATAGTTCAAAATATTAAACATTGAGACTAGATAGTAACATTATAAAAATAGAAGCACTAAGTTATATCAAATCTAGTGGTGTAAATGAACAAAGCGTTTACGAACTATACGTGAATTGTTTGTATAATGATCGCTTATTAAGTTAAATAAATGAGTATGAACAAACTATTTATGTACATTTTATAAACAAATGAACACGATTAAAGGTGTGTTCGGTTCAATTATATTCACGAACAAGTTCGTTTATAAGCTCGTTATTGACTCATTTATAACTTCGTTTACTCGGTTCTCATTTACCTTTTATTTTCTTTTTACATTTTAAATATTGGTGAAGGTATAGACTAAATTGAATATAAAATAAACTTTAGAGTTTAAATCGTGAAACCTAATAAAATTAAGGCTTAGGGGGTGTAATTTCACAATTTTCTTTGAATAGCAGCAGATAACTACGATGGAAAGAGAGTTCTAGTTTTTTAACATTAATCAAATGTTAAATGAACTATTCGTGAATGTTAAATGAATATGCTTGCAAACGATTCGAAGGTGGTCGAGGACAGCCCATAGCTTAGCTTGGAAGATTGAACAACTGGCAATATTTCTGATATATCTTGTTACCTAGTCGTCGTTATTGTTCCGAAAAACTCCTCCACTGGAAGCCCTCTACAGGCGTTAGCCGCGTTACAGCTCCATCAGTGTTGAGCTTGATGGTCCCTGCACCAGGTGGTCTCTAGTGAACTCCCTTGTTGCTCGCTCCACTGTTAGGGGTATGGTTTTGACCACCGACCAGATCTTCCTGTTGAAGACAATATTGTTCTGGTGTTTACAGAGCCTCCACATCAGGAATCAAAGAGATGTCTCCAAGAATATTCTACTCGATCAAGGCATCCATTTTTACCTAGATAAAATTGCAACCAATCCAATCAATGAGAATAGAAGAATACCGTCTGCAACTGATTTAGGATCAAGTGAGTCCAAAGCATGCGAGCATGATGACAGTCCCTTAAGACATGAATGATTGTTTCATCTCCCCCACAGACCAGGCATCATTGGTCAAAAGAAATTCCTCGCCTTGAGCTTTCCATATTTGTCATTAGTCGTTATCTAAGAACAAACCAAATGATTTGTCTCACTGTTTGAGGGCCATCGAAGTTCCAAGCCAGATTCCAAACTTCATTGTGCGTATCCCAACCTTCTCGTTGGAGGATATTAAACGCATAATTAACCGTGCAGTTACCAGAAGGCTCCCAACGTCAGATGGGTTTGTCTTCCTCACCATCATCACACGGTGTAGGAATACCCATAATCCATTCGACCAAGTCTTCGTCTAAGGTCAGTCTAAGCTGTGATAAATTCCAGTCACCATCAGAGGTAACAAAATCTCAGACAACCGCTTGTTTATTAAGAAGACGGTCTGTATTAACAAGATAGGCAAGCGGGGGCATGCTGGACAGCCAAGAGTCAAACTAGAAACTGATTCTTATTCCGTAACCG